ACACCACACATATATACACATACATACACTAGTACTCACAAATTTCAGCATGTTCCAGTCAAATACATAGTCATAAGAGAAACCCTGTCTGTGGAACAGGTTCCTGAAGAGCTGGCGTAGATATGAGTAGTCTGGCTTGTCATCGAAGCGCAGGGAGCGACAAAAATTCAGGTATGTCGCAAACTCCGCTGTGACAAAGAGGGAGAAAACGTTTCTCAGCTGATGGTTATGACTGTTCTTGATTAATATTGGTCAATATAGAATTATGAAAATAATTTATAATTTTTTTTGATACAAGTTGAGACTCACAGGGGTATCCTTTGCAAAGCACCTCAATGGGCGTGGACATTTTCTTCTCACTGATCCGTTCATACTTCTGCCTCTTGGTAGCAGCCTTAAGGCCTTGCCAAGGCAGCGAGCCCAGATTAAAATACATGAGAACGTAGCCCAAGGACTCCAGGTCATCGCGCCTTGACTGCTCTGCAGAGAGGACAGACAACGAAAGAATGAAGACAAGAGGAAGAAAAAATGTCATCACTGCACTGTAATTTGTCGTTCAGTATATATATTTGTGTGTGTGTGTGTATATCTATATATATATATATTTTTTTTTTTACCAATCCCCAGATGTGTGTTGATTGAGGCGTAGCGTGCAGTGCCCGTCAGGTTCTTGTTCTCACGGTAGGGGATGTGCTGGTGTGTGCGAGCGTCACGATATTTTTTAGCCAGACCAAAGTCAATAATGTAGACGAGGTTGCCCTTTTTGCCGAGTCCCATCAGGAAGTTATCAGGCTTCACATCTCTGTGGATAAAGTTCTTGGAGTGAATGTACTCAATGCGGCTGATCTGTAGTGGAGAAGAACAAAATAATAAATTCGGTCACTACACCATATTAAGCACATATAAGGGCATTCGCCAAGCACTTAAACTACCATCCACTCACCTCTGTCTGACAGCTCAATCTGTAAATCACAGAGGGGTCAGATTTTGGGGGATTAGGGTTGGATTAGAGGTCACTGACTAAACTTAATGACCATGTTTATTAACCAGAGCAAACCATTGACCTATTAAATGTTATTAACTTCTGGTTAATTTTTCCACATACTCTGTGAAATTGTTTTTTTCTTTGTTTGAATACAGAATTATAAACACAGTTTCAATAAACAGTGTTTTGATTATTAAAGTGGTCATTTAGATAATGACAAGAACAAAAAAAGAGTCAGCGGGTTATTCCCTGAATTATATTAAAGAAATCCCTTTCTGTGGGAAAATCTCAATAATGGAAAAGGATACTATATCCTGTGATTCATATATAGTGTTCTGAGCTTAAGATAAAAATGGAACAATTTTCTTTGTAATATTGAAGTAATAGAAAAATTTAATGATTCAAACAATCTAATAGCACATGAACTGCACATACAATTCAACATTCATACCACTTCACTTTTCACATTATGTTGCAGCCTTATGCTAAGACGCTGTGTCTTGTTCAAGAGTGGCTTGACAAAAGGAATGCGACAGCTGAAACCCATGTCTTGCATACGTCTGTGGTGGTTCTTGAAGCACTGACTCCAGCTGCAGTCCACTCTTTGTGAATCTCCCCCACATTTTTGAATGGGATTTGTTTCACAATCCTCTCCAGGGTGCGGTTATCCCTATTGCTTGTACACTTTTTTCTACCACATCTTTTCCTTCCCTTCGCCTCTCTATTAATGAGCTTGGACACAGAGCTCTGAACAGCCAGCCTCTCAGCAATGACCTTTTGTGTCTTGCCCTCCTTGTGCAAGATGTCAATGGTCGTCTTTTGGACAGCTGTCAAGTCAGCAGTCTTCCCCATGATCGTGTAGCCTACAGAACTAGACTGAGAGACCATTTAAAGGCCTTTGCATGTGTTTTGAGTTAATTAGCTGATTAGAGTGTGGCACCAGGTGTCTTCAATATTGAACCTTTTCACAATATTCTTATTTTCTGAGATACTGATTTTGGGGTTTTCATTAGTTGTCAAAATTAGTTCATCAAAATTAAAAGGAATGAACACTTGAAATATAACAGTCTGTGTGGAATGAATGTATACATTATACAAGTTTCACTTTTTGAATGGAATTACTGAAATAAATCAACTTTTTGTTGATATTCTAATTATATGACCAGCACCTGTATTTGATTATATCTTTTCATGTGACAATGCTGAAGAAATGAAACTTTGCTACAATGTAAAGTAGTGAGTGTACAGCTTGTTTAACAGTGTAACTTTGTTGTCCCCTCAAAATAATACATCACACAGCCATTAATGTCTAAACCGCTGGCAACAAAAGTCCCCTAAGTGAAAATGTCCAAATGGGTCCAATTAGCCATTTTCCTTCCCCAGTGTCATGTGACTTGTTAAAGTGTGTTAAATTTGGTGTTATCACTCGTACATTCCCTCATACTGATCACTGGAAGTTCAACATGGCACCTCATGGCAAAGAACTCTCAGAGGATCTGAAAAAAAAAAGAATGGGTGCTTTACATAAAGATGGCCTAGGCCAGATTGCTTTGATAGCAGAAAAATAAAAAATAAATAAATTGATAGCGGCTGGTGCTGAAATAGATCTCAGTCATGACAGCTACAGTTACTCATACAGTCGCTTCATCTGATTGTGCCTCCAAAAAAAAAAAAAAGCGCAAATAAAAATTAAAACTTCTTTAACAGAAATGCTTTATGACAAGTTTATTGGGAGCTTTTACGTGTCATTGGATTCCCCTGTGAATTTCCTCAGGGAAATGAAAATAAGCGTCCATTGGTTTATGAATGTGGATCAAACGCTGGGACGCACACAAATTGTAGCACATGCTTTATTGTGAGCATGTGCTAAAGTGTCCTTATAATCAATTTGTTTAACAAGGGACACAAAAATACCCACAGTTAGTTGGGATCGATCATACTTCCTAACCATACCTTCCTAACGGGAGTCCCGCACATTACCGACTGAGCTAAACATGCACACAAGTATAGAAAGATTTGAAATAATTGGACTTTGTTGTGGCCCGCCATGTAATGGCCTAGGCTATAAGAAGATTGCAAAGACCCTGAAGTGAGCTGCAGCACGGTGGCCAAGACCTTACAACAGTTCAACAGGACAGGTTCCACTCAGAATAGGCATCGCCATGGTCGACCAAGTTGAGTGCACGTGCTCTGGCTCTCATGGCTGTTATCCCAGAAGGAAGTCTCTACTAAAGATGATGCACAAGAAAACCCGCAAACAGTTTGCTGAAGACAAGCAGAATAAGGACATGGATTACTGGAACCAAGTCCTGTGGTCTGATGAGACCAAGATAAACTTATTTGGTTCAGATGGTGTCAAGCGTGTGTGGCGGCAACCAGGTGAGGACAAAGACAAGTGTGTCTTTCCTACATTCAAGCATGGTGGTGGGAGTATCATGGTCTGGGGCTGCATGAGTCCTGCCAGCACTGGCATCAATCATGAATGCCAACATGTACGGTGACCAGCCCGGGGCCAGTAAAAGTAGCATGGTGTTCATTTAGTAAATTATAGTCCCATTTATGGAGAAATAGACCGGAAAACAGCATATACTTTAGGGCGGGACTACCTTGTGATTGACATGTTGTTACCATGGCAACCTGTCAATCAGGATAGGTGACCTTATCCGTTGCTGTGTATACATTATTTTATTAAATGGCTGCCAGCAGAACACGTCATGTTTGAGTCTGTTTTGTTTTAAAAGTTAATTGCTTTGTTAACCTTTTTAATTTTTATAATTTTAACTGTGATTACATTTTAGTTTAGTTTTTTTTATATCCAGGATGTATTTAATAAATGATTAAACATGTTAACAGTATAACATGGCTTTTAATACTATTCAACCTAGTATCTTAGCAGATAGATTGGTCTCAGAATTCTCACTTGAACCTAGGTTGATTTTATGGATTTGATTTGATTTTAGGATCCAGCAAGTCAGAGCAGGTACTTCTCTCTCAGTTGCAGACCAGTTGCACAGGCTCTCCCCAGGGATGTGTTTTATCTGCTTTATTATTTCCCAAACAAGTAGCTTATTAAATATGCAGATGATACTGCCTTGATGAGCCTACTATATGATGAGGAGGAGGAGCATGGGCCAGTTCTTGACTACTTCCTAAAGTGGTGTGAGAAGTCAAAGCCTCCTTCTAAACAACACCAAAACAAAAGAAATGTCCATTGATTTTAGAACGTTCCAATCATCAAATTCTACTCTTATCAACAGGAAATCTATACAATCTGTTACCAATTAAAAATACCTTGGTATTGTGCTTGACCATAAGCTTAAATGGGATCTGTGGTCTGAACTCATAAGCACAAAGACACACAAAAAAAAAAAGAATGTACTTTTTAAAGAAACTGCCATCTTTTAATTTTAACAAAATGCTTCAGATGTTTTATTGTTCTTTTATTGAAAGTGTTTTGGTTTTTTGCATCATTTGCTGGTTTGGCAATGCTACTGAGGCACAGAAAAACAAAACAGTAACAACGGCCAGTAAACTATTAGGGATCGAGTTACCAAGTATGGAATGTATCTATAGGGAAAGAATGATGAACAACGAAAAAACCATTGTGGGAGACAAGAGGCACCCCCCCCTTGCCCCTTCATTCGAACTACTGCCATCTGGGCAACGATACTGCCTTCCTCTATTTACCAAAAATAGATCTAAATCTTCATTTGTGCCTCAAGCAATTGGGTTTTTAAATAGATAAGGCACATATATATCCAAATAGGCAGGATGCCTAATTTAATCGGTTGCAAGGTACGGGGTATGGGAAATTATGTGTTATGTGTATTACTGTATGTTTACCAGTATGTTTGATGGTTCTCTCTGTGGCGTATGATGTAATGCCTACTTGACTGTTCTGCGAACTAATTTCCCTACAGGGACAAATATAAGTTATTATCAATCAATCTCTTTAAGTCTTTGGTTTGGCTGTAACACTGAAATAACATTTGGAGGGAGGGACAGTAGAAATTGTTTTGGGGCCCAGTAAGGCATTGACTGTAAGACTGGGGCCAGTTGCAAAAAAGTTTAATGTTGAGCACTGACTAGGGATCGACTTATGTTTTTTTCTGGGCCGATCCCGATTATTAGTAATCAATTAGTCCGATGACCGATATGCATTCGCTATAAAAAAAATTTAATCTTGGTCCTGCAGAGCTGATTGCTGCGGTACACGGTAGGTCTGCTTTAATCTTGAGAAGCTGCAGAGCTGCAGTCTCTATCCATTCAACTTACACTACATTTCCAGCTAAGCTGAGGCTTTTTGAAGCCCCTTTTCTCTCTCTTGCCTGTCATTCACTGGTCTTGTGTGAGTTTTGCGTGCATGCCATGCTGCCGACAACTACATACACGTCGTGGTTCCTCGCCGGTCTATTTCAAGTAGCCAGCTATTTAAAAATGATATAATATTCTTTGTGTGGTTTATCAATGGTGATACATTATCCGAAAGTCCCGCAAGGTGCGGACAACTCGGCACAACACCAGTGAAGTAACCAATTAGGCTCAGTCTCTTCAGCAAATGTTCCTCTTCCGCCACCACACACATACGCTACGCCTACACATGTGCACTGACGACCCAGGGTTAGGGTTACAATTTTGGATTTATTTACACACTTTTAAAAACTTTTATTCAAAGTTATTCTTTTTACATGTTTATTTACAGCATTAAACGTTGAAATGTATATTGTAATAGGCTGTATATTAACTTATTGGGAGAAAACTGGTAGTTCAATGTAAAATCAGACGTTGAGCACCCCCATATCGCCAAAATGGCACGATCCTTGTTTCGCTGCGAAGCTTCGACTGTGAGATTGACAGTCAA